GCCTTGTCACAGCTGGGGGAGAGGTGCCCCTCCTCTGGCCCCAACCCCGCTCTGCCGGGGCCGGGGGGGGGGCCCCTTCCCCCCCCCCCCCCCCCCAGCCCAGGTGCTGCTGCGGGGAGAGAGAGCTGATGGGAGTCCTCTCTCCCCGCTGTAGCCCCAGGGCCAGCCTGCACCCCAAACCCCTCATCCCTGGCCCCACCCCAGAGCCCACACTCCCAGCCGGAGCCCTCACCCCCCTGCACACCAACCCTCTGCTCCAGCTCTGAGCCCCCTCCCACACTCCGAACCCCTCAGCCTCACCCCCATCACATGAATTTTGTTAGGTGAACCAATATGAAGCTCACGTGTCACACATCAGCTCCATATTGGTACACCTCTACCTCGATATAACGCTGTCCTCAGGAGCCAAAAAATCTTACCGCGTTATAGGTGAAACCGCGTTATATCAAACTTGCTTTGATCCACCGGAGTGCGCAGCCCCGCTCCCCCTGGAGCGCTGCTTTACTGCGTTATATCCAAATTCATGTTATATCGGGTCGTGTTATATCGGGGTAGAGGTGTACACATAAAATTCATTCCACACATGCGTGGGAAAAATTAGAGGGAACACTGAACAGGAGAGCCAAGGAACTTCTGAAATCCCAACCTGATGCACTCCAGAATGCAGAATTCTCATCAACTCACCTGCCTGAACAGAACATATCAGCCTACAAACACCACAAACCATTCACAGGGACAACCCCAGCACCTGTTGCACTTACGTTCCTTCGGGGGGGGTTTCTGCCATCTGGATATCTCGGGGGTCGGAGGTCACATCCAGCTCTGGCTCCCCATTATCCATCAGTTTGAGATTAAAGATAATCACTAAGGTCCCTGAGTAGGTGACAAACTTGAGGTTAGCTCCATCTAATGCCATCCAAATGCCTTCTCCTGTTTCCATCTCCAATTGCCCCATGCCCAGCATCAGTTGACACTTACCCTTCTCCCCAGGGATTTTCTTAAACTGCTCCATCACCTCTTGCTCTGACTTGAAGGGGGAATACTTGTAAATGAGCTCAGTCTCAATTGCAAATTTTTCCATATTATCGGTCATGGGCTCCCGGGTACGTGTGTTCCAGGTGGGCAGTGGCACAATCACCTGTGGAAAGGATTGGATGGGGATTAAGATGAAGCGCCAACACTTTCTCTTGAGAAAAAACACTTCACTGGCTCCCATGCTTGGGTTAAGTTATTTCTTCTGATGGCCTCTACATACAGCATTGATCCCCTTCCTACCCCCTCCAATAACAGGTGAGTATTAATTCAGTGTCCAACACCCAAAAACACTTGTTTCCCATCCCCTCGGATTTACCTTTTTATACAGTTTATTTTCTCAAACCAAGATATTTTACCCCAAGTACATTGTAAACCACAAGAAAAAATCAACTTCAGAACAGGTTCTTCTCCTCTTAGATGAGGTACAGAGAACAACAGAAGGCTCATCTTAGCAAATACCTAGCATTATATTTTAGAGTGACAAAGGGCATGCAAACCTCATCGATCCCTTCTTCCTCGTGAAATGTGCGTGACAGGAAGAGGCAGGTCATAGTGGTGTCTTTCTTAGTGAACAGGATAAAATCCTTCCCAATCCGCATGGAACCCCTGGAGGCAGATTTTAGAGTGTGTGGAAAGTCAGTTTGAAAAAACTCAACACTTTCTACTACAAGTCCTGGGCTACCAGGGTCCCTTCCCCCAAACTATATTTTTTTAATTAATTTTGAAATGCCAACAAACATGAGATAATATTCGAATATCTCAAAATGGTTTAAGAGAAACATCTTGTCATGCTGTACAAACAAAAATCTCAAATCACTCATGCCCTAAATAACCTTATTCACCCCACACAGATGACAATCCAGAAAAGGACATATTTTCGTAGGATTAGATCAGAGGTGGGCAAACTGTGGCCCGTGGGCCACATCCGGCCCACGGGACCCTCCTGCCCGGCCCTTGAGCTCCCAGACGGGGAGGCTAGCCCCGGGCCCCTTCCCTGCTGTCCCCCCTCCCCCGCAGACTCAGCTCACCATGCCGCCAGCATTCTGGGCGGCGAGTTCCTGCCGGGCAGTGTGGCTGCGAGAGCTGCCAGCCTGCCCCGGTGCTCTAGACTGTGTGGCTGGCTCCGGCCGGGCAGCGTGGCAGCCAGTCCTGGTGCTCTGAGCAGCATGGTAAGGGGGCAGGGAGTAGGGGGGTTGGGTAAGGGGCAGAAGGTTCCAGGGGGCAGTCAGGGGACAGGGAGCCGTTAGATGGGGCGAGGGGTCCCGGGAGGGGGCGGTCAGGGGACGGGGAACAGGGGGGGTTGGAGAGGCGTGGGAGTCCTGGAGGGCCTGATGGGGGCAGGGGTGCGGATAGGGGTCAGGGCAGTCAGGGGACTGGGGGGTGGGTGTTGGATGGGGGTGCGGTCCCAGGGGCCGTTAGGGGCGGGGGGTCCCGGGAGGGGGCGGTCAGGGGACAAGGATCAGGGGGGTTGGATGGGTTGGGGGTTCTGAGAGGGGCAGTCAGGTGGCGGGAAGTGGGAGGGGGCGGATAGCGGCAGGGACCAGGCTGTTTGCGGAGGCACAGCCTTCCCTACCCAGCCCTCCATATAGTTTCAGAACCCCAATGTGGCTCTCAGGCAAAAAACTTTGCCCAACCCTGGATTAGATGGAGGCCTCTGGGCTTGTTCCCCAAAACATCCAGCACCAGCTATAGCCAAAGGTAGGATTGTCTAGCTCCGCAGAAAACCTGCTCCAGACTCAGCTGGATACATATACAGTGCAAGGCCAAATGGGCATTACTTCCTCCAGCCACATGGGGAGCAGCAGCTAGAAGAGCTCACATGGCACAAACTATGGAATCACTACAACCTTCAGAGCTTTTTGCCCACAGTGGCCAGCACTAGCTCCAGGGCACTGGACCCAGTGGCCTCCCAAACAGCCCTGTCCAACCTTACCCTCCCTGTCCATTATGCTTCTCTCTCCTTTCCCATTTCTACACCTCTGCCAGTTTCCTTCTCCCCCACTCTTCCCACCATTCCCATCCCCTCAAGCACTCCCCCAATAAAGGACAATGGAAGTTACTTACCTGTAACTGGAGGTTCTTTGGGTACGCATGCACATCATGCACCCGAGTCTGGAGATTTTTAGTAAGCAGTGTCCCGTGGTCCACACATGCACAATTGCTCTCTTCGTGCTCTGAACCAAGGGTAGAAGGGAAAGTGTGGAATGATGATGCTCCAGTTCCTCCTCTTACTATGAATCCAGTCACGATATGCAACAGAGGGGACGGACGACAGGCAGTGGAATACAGATAGGGTCCACACATCTTGAAGAACCTCCAGTTACAGGTAAGTAACCTCCATTTCTTCTTTGAGAGATGGCCCCTATGTGCATACATAGGAGATTAGCAAACAGGAGGTTGGTGCAAGGATGCAGATAGTATGGATATCTGCAGTACTGCCATTCCCACAGCTGTATCTGCAGCAGAGGTTTGGCCCAATGCATAATGTTTTGTGAAGGAACGGACAGAGCTCCAGGTAGCCACCCTACACATATCTAATAGAGGTATGTCTCGTAGAAATGCTGTAGAGGTTGCTTGCGCTCTAATGGAGTGGATTCTCATGCCCTCCCAGGGTTGGAGGGAGGATACCTGCTAGTTAGTAGAGAAGGATGATGCTGCCTGAGCTCCATTCAGAGAGCGTCTTTGGGTGGATAATGCTTGACCCTTGATCACTTTGCTGAGGCAATAAATAGTCTATGTGTTTTCTTAATTGCTTTTGTTCTCTGCAGATAGAATGCCAGTACCCCATTGGGCATCTAGAGAGAGTGAAGCCTTCTCTCCTCATCAGAAGCATGAGGTTTTGGAGGGGGAAATAGCGGTAAGTGGATGGTTTGATTTATGTGAAACTCAGGAATTACACTAGGGATGAATTTTGGTGGAGGCGAAGAAAGACCTTTTTATGAAAAATGGTATATAATGGATCTTCCATTAAGTGCTCCCAGCTCGCTCACCGTTCTGGCTGATGTGATGGCAACTAGAAAGGCAACTGTCATCAACAGGTGGGACATGGAACAAGTGGCCATTGGTTCAAAAGGAGATGTGGTAAGGATCAGATAAGATCCCTTTGTAGTGTTGGTTTAACCACTGGTGGGAAAATTCTAATTAGTTCCTTCAGGATTCTAATTCTCGTTGGATGAGTGAAGATAGTATGGCCTTCAATCAGAGGATGAAAGGCGCTCACTGCTGCAAGGTAGATTGAATTCCAGTAGGTTGATGATATGCATCCTGGCTTTTCAAGGGGTCCAGGTGCCTTGTGCAATGCGATTGTTCATGTGGGCTCCCCAACCTAAGAGGGAAGCATCCGTGACGATAGTCACCTCGCGTGAGGGTGTGAGAAAAAGAACCCTCACAAACTTTTTCTGGGTTTGCCCACCAGGCAGGAGAAGCCATCGCCTTGGCTGGGATTGTTATTCTGGCACTGTCGTCTGGGGAGTAGACAGAGCGAAGTGGAGGTGGAGCCTGGCAAATGGTTTTACGTGGGTGCATGAGGCCACATTGCCTAGAAGGGAAGGGCAGACCCTGACTGGAGTCTGAGGTTTGCTGCAGACCTATTTTATCAAATTGCTCATGGTGTGGAATCTCTCCATTAGGAGAGGTAGGCTCTTGCTGTAGTCAAGGCCAAAATCGTTTCTATGAAATCGGTGGTCCTTCTGGGAATCAAAGTTGACTTTTTTCGCTGATACAGATTCCCAGGAGAGATAATAGGCAGACTAGGAATGAGGTTGCTGACTGGATCTCCATGCTGGATCTGGAAAGACAGTAAAGCTGTTTCTTCTCATCCAGGTCGCCACCACTGAAAAAGACTTTTGTCAAGACCCCAGGTGCCATAACTAGTCTGAACAGGAGGACTCTGAATTGGTCTTGTGGAGGAGCCGCTCACATGCAGAGAAGGTGGGGAAACCAGAATTGGCAAGGTCAGAATAAGATTATCAGAATAACCGTGGCGCTCTCCCGCCTGATCTTGCAGATGACATGCGGCAGCAGCACTAGCGGGGGAAAGGCATAATTGATCTGATGTGAACAGGGGATGACGAGGGCATCGCCTTGGAAATGGGTGCGAGATCCCCTCTGGAGCAGTATGTGATGCATCTGCTATTGCTGTAGGAGGCAAAGAGATCCCTGGTCGGAGTCTCCCACTGATTGAAAACATCGCTGACCTATGGTGTCATGCCATCCATGGTCGGGCATAAATTTCCTGCTGAGAGCGCCAACAATCACGTTCTGAGTCTCTGGAATATAGGCTTCCGACAACAAGATCTTGTGGGCAAGGCACCAATTGCACAACTAGAGCACTTCTGCACAAAGCGCCAGTGACCAGATGCCCGTTTGTTGATATAATAAATGGCTGCGTTATTGTCCAACATAACGAGAATATGATGGGAGCGAATAGATGGGAGAAATGCATGACACACCCTCTGTACCGCTCAAAGCTCCAGAATGTTGATATGCACTCTGGATTCCCAAGTGGTCCAAGTCCCCTGGGTCATGTGCTCACTCACATGGACACCCCATCTGGGAAATGATGTGTCTGTGATGAGCTTCATGTCCAGGAAGGATGGAAGGTCCCAGCCTGGATCCGATTGCAGCCTCATGACAACCTCTATGAGGTGCTTCTTGAGGCGGAGAGCCCAGTCTTCCCAGGTACAGTTTGGGAAGGACAAGCGGACATTGCACCTGGATCAAATGTGGGCTTCTCCCAAGCAGTACAGGGCAGCGTTGCTCATCAATGATCGAGAATGAACGTAGACAGGAGGTGCAGATCTTGAACCCCGATGTCATCAGCATAATCCAGGCATGGATGCTGGGGAGTGGGGAACTGGAGAAATGGAGTCCCCAAGTCTCTTAATTCCTGAAAACGAACACTAAGACTGAAACTACTGAAAAAACAACCACCAAAACTATGTACAATTCTAAAAACAGGTGGTGGTGGTTGTTTTTTTAAAGTGCATCAGAGGAAGATGAGAGGACACCAGCAGCTTTGACTCGGATCATGTGGTGGTGAGAAAACTGAGGGCGCAGTCAGTCTGCCCCGTCCTTTGTTGCCTGAGACGAAACCATGAGATGGAGCAAGGGCACATGTGCGGACCAACAGACACTACTACTTTTAAATTCTCAGTGGAATCCAACCCTCAGTGGAATCCAATAGGGACCATCATTCAAAACTCCACTCCTGTAAGTGGAATGAAGTAGCACTTCTCAACCCTTTTTGGGAAGGGAGTGCATGAGGCAGGAGTGTGCCACACTACTCTGGCCTCACTGACTGGGAGGGTCACTTGACTGGGACTCGAGGGTTGTAAGATGTTTAATAGTCTATGCTGAGGCTCTTGGAACCTCCTTGAGCTGGATCTGCAGCTCAGATGCCACTCTTTGTAAGAGTTCATGATATTGCCTGTGATCATCAGGCAGAGATGGTGAAGATGGGGTGACTACTTCATTTGGCAAGGACGATGAAATGGCCGCCGAAACTCCTGAATCTGGCACAACTTCCTCTTCTTCACACTCTGATGAAGCCGGTTGGCGTCAGCTACGAGAGGGTATATAAGGTTCATGCACAGATCTGGGGTGCCTAGATTAAGGGTTCCAGGGACTCCAGTATTACCAGTATGAGGAGTCAACCAGTTGGAGCCAACCCCATGGCACTGTGAAGTCATATCTTGGTAGAGACAGGACCCAGATCTACTGGAGCTTCTGGCCAGACTCATCTCCTTATGCAAGGGTAGAGGTTCATCTGGAGCCTCTGACTCATCAGATCAGAAGATATGGTTCTGCTTGTCAATTGGGAACCTAGGTACTGACGGATGGGTACTCAGATTCATGGATGGTAGAGATCACCCCAGTGTACTCGAGGTGGTTTCTTCCAGGTGTGATGTTATATCTAAATAAGGTTGGACCTAAGAGGAGAGGGGATTGAGGACAGGGAGAGCAAAAATGTCCTCCAGGGAGACACAGGTCTCAGGGTGCTAGGTGTATGGGTGGTTGGGCCACCAGAGCTGAGACTTCCCTGGTTATAGTGGACATTGGAGTCTGATCTGGATGTTGAAGGTAATGGAACGCCTGTCCTTTGGTTTATACATCAGCACCACGACTGGTACCAATGGATCCATATTCCTGCGCACCACATTCTCCTGTAGAGGCAACTTACCTGGGCCTAAGTCCTTATCATCCATGTGCAAGGACTCGCCTGACTTGGACAGAACCAGGGATGGATCTTTTCAGAGCATCTGACCCGATGCTTGTGACAGTGCCCCTTATTCTAATTCATTCTCTAGGCTTGGAAGTTGTAGTCTCAGCTCCTGAGCTCGTGTTCGGAGGGGCACTGCCCATTTATTGAGATCAGTGTGCAGAGGGGGCTCCTTGGCCCAGATCGAACTGGGGTCTCATGGCTTTTTCAGTCTGAGCTCTCAACCCCAAGTCTGAGGAGGGAAGGAGTGGCAGATGCTGTAATTAGCAGATGTGAACCTCACCGAGGCAGTAAAGGCAGTGCTGGTGTTAGTCACTCACTGAAAAGAAGCAGGGGCAGGAAACAGAAACAGTTCTTAAACCCCAGGGCACAAGGCATAGTCCTTGCCTTCCAGAGAGAATTTTCCCAAGGCAGGGAACAAATATTGAAAATACTAAAATACTAAATAACTATTTACAATATATAATTACAGATTAAAGAAAATGATAGAAGCAGCTGTAGACCCAGAAGATTCTGACTCAGGCCACGTGATAGTAAAAAGGAATTGGAGCAGGGTTGGTCCACACTGCCCATTGTACTCTTGATTCAGAACACGAGGAGAGTAACTGCACATGTGTGAACCAACGGACACTTTTTACTAAAAATCTCTGGACTCAGACGCATGGTGCACTTGTGTACCCATATGTGGAATACACATAAGGACCATCACTTGAAGAAAACTAGAATTTCTATAACTTGTCTTTGCATTAGAAAACTGTTCAAATGAGAAGCAGCATGGTCCAGCAGATGTTGCACTGGAACGGACTCAAGACACCAGGCTTTTATACCCAGTTCTGCCAATGACCTGCTGCATAACCCTGGGTGAGTCGCTTCTCTTTGTGCACTCCCCACCCTTTGTCCATCTTGTTTATTTAGACTGTGAGCTCTTCAGGGCAGGGACTGTCGGCTTTTGTTTGTACAGTGTCTAGCACAATGGGATTCTGATCCTGGTTGGGGCCTCTAGGAACTACTGTAATACAGAAACCCATTAATCTAAATTCTGTGTCAGACATTTCCCCCTGTCCAATTGTCCAAATTCACAGACTTTAAGAGAGGAAAAAAGTGGAAAAATTAGTGGTCCAGGCCACACTTTTCAGAGGCGACTTGTGATTTTAGATACTCAGCTGACACCTAAACTTGAGACACCCAATAGTCACTTTTAAAGTCTTGGTGCCCCCAAAATAAGCTTTCATTTTGGTATGTTACTCCTGGGGGAATTTCATCTGTCCCGCATAATTTTGTCTTTTCCTTGCATAAAATATATTCTGCCCAAGAAATGCTACAGTTCCGCCTTCTGCCCACCAGAGGCCGCTGTATCGCCAGAACAACCAGCCACATGGACACAGCCAGCTTCTCTGGCGCCACAGCGGCCTCTAGTGTGCAAAAGGCAGAACTGCAGCACTTCTGGGGCAGAATGTATTTTCTGTGCGGGAAAAAAATTTCTATGAGTGCCCAGTGCTGCAGACTTCCCCCAGGAGTAGAAGTTCATCACAGCACCCTGCCCGCGGAGCCAGGTTACGACAGAGTGTGGCACACAAGGCTGTTGGGGGGAGGTGTCACAGACTGGGGTTCAGAATGGCTAGTGTGGGGGACTAGTGGGCTAGTGCAGCATGGGCTCAGGAGCTTGTGGGGTGACAGTGTTGAGCCTGGGGAGGGAGGCTGCAGGAACACTTGGGGATGGGGAGGAGGCTGCAGAGACCCATGGGGATAGGGGGGTGCGGGGAAGGGGCAGATGCGTCTGACTGAATGGGAAAGGCTAGGGCTTAGCCAGGGTCTGCATGGGGGAGGCTTCCCAACTCTCTAACAATCCCTCCCCCCCAAAAAAACAACACCTTCTCCCAACCACACCCAATATCCTCCAGCTTCACTCCCAGGCTCCTACTCTCTCCCTCAGCTCCTCTGTTACCCCTGATACCCCCAAGTCTTTGAACTGCTTCTGACAGGTGCAGGAAATACAATTCCGTATTGTAATTTAAATGAATTACTCGAAGTTCTGTATTAATATTATTTGTCAAAAAAATGTACCAGAATTTTTTTTTTGGTCTGTATTATTAGACATATTTGTTGACAGATATTTTGAAATAAATGACCAAAATAATTGAAACTGGCTTTATTATACTGTGTTATTTAAACAACTAAAATATGCAGAATTTTTAATTTTTTGGCGCAGAATTCTCCCAGGAGTAGTATGTGCCCCAAACCAAAAGAGCAAATTCTGAGCAAATCAGAACTTCATTCCCAATAAAGATTCACAATCATCCCAAAAGATTCTTTAGGAATCCAGTACTGGTAGCCACGTTGTATCTACAGGATTCACCTTTAGAGGTCACCGTAGCCTCCTATTTGCAAATGGTCATTCAAGCCTCTAGTCTCAGTATCATTATGATATTGGCATGGAGCGTAAGTTATTGTGATGTCATAGGACTAGGACCAGCTTCATTGCCTGAGGAAGAGTTACAAGGAAAGAGAGACAGACATACACAGAGTGTATCCAAAGCTAACAAGTAAAGCCACCCATAACTCCCTTAAAGGTTGGTAGCTTTTTAAATGGGACTTTAAGTGTTTCCTTTTTATAGAAGTATATAAAGCTCAACATTTGCTGGCCCGCTATCAGCCAAACCCCAAGATCTCAGAAGGCTGGCTTCTGTTATACCTACGATTTCAAGCCGTTCCCATACTGCCCAATTTGAGTCGACTCTGGTGATCGTTTGGCCGATTTACCAAACTGAATCACACTTGCGGCATCACCTGGAATGACAGGCAGAAAAAGTGAGATCTACTTATGAAGTATGTAAAAAATATTTTTTATATATCTATATCTATACACATACACACACACACCTCTACCCCGATATAACGCTGTCCTCGGGAGCCAAAAAAATCTTACCGCGTTATAGGTGAAACCGTGTTATATCGAACTTGCTTTGATCTGCCGGAGTGCACAGCCCTGCCCCCGGAGCGCTGCTTTACCGCTGTTATATCCGAATTCATGTTATATTGGGTCACGTTATATCGGGGTAGAGGTGTACATATATATATAATTTTCTCTCTCTCATATATATTATATACACACACGTTTTTTACAGGATTATTGTGATTACATTACATAGTGGCAGATTACATTACACAGTCCAACAATGAAGGCCAGAAAAAAGCTTGGTTGTGGGTGTGATTTTTTTGAAAAGATATTTTTACACCAGCAAAAGGAATAATATAGATGCAATCATAATGGCAAAAAGTACCTTTGCGAGTAACGCTTACTTCATTCGGGGCAACAGTATAAACTATTTTGCTAGTTGAAGCTGCATTTACTTTAGAATGGTTTGCTCATATAGTTATACCAGCAAACCTTTTCTAGCGTAGAGTACACCCAGGACCTTTCAGAATTCCACAAAGATACTGATCCTCTCTCACAAAATAGGGAAATCCTTCTTCTGCTCTTAGGTCCAAAACAATTCCAAATACCTTCAGGTTAAAAGTACCCAGCAGGACAACTACAGCACAGATTCTGCTGCAAACATTATTCAATAGTATCAAAATTTTGTAAAATACAAAAGCATAATACTCCACATAAGTCCATGCACCCAATTCCAAGTCCTTCTTCCATGAAGCAATCATCATCATTTTAACAAAATAGTACTAACCAACCAGCAGTATGCTGATAAAACAATTGTAAATTCACTGGCAGGTTTCTAGAGCATGGTATTAAAGCAGTATCATTCCAATATGTAAACACAATTGTAAGATTTAATACTCTTTATTAGCATTGGACACATGGTACAATCACAATGGAAAGGATGTGATGTGATAACAGAGAATATAGCTATTCTGAGGTTGTAGGGTTTGGGGACTATTTTTTTATTTGTCTTCCACCACATTAATTCAGGTCTTCCATTATATGCGAGATGGGAAGCCAGTATTTGAAACTACAAGTGAAGTGTTAAGCTTCTGTAAATCCAAGGGACAATGGCTCAGCAAATGATTCTTTTGTGAGGTAACTGAATCCCAATAAATTCTTTAGCCCTGGTCTACTCTGTAGGGGGGAAATGGATCTAAGTTACGCAACTTCAGCTACGTGAATAACACAGCTGAAGTCGACGTACTTAGATCGACTTACCGTGGTGTCTTCACTGTGGTGAGTCGACTGCTGTCACTCCCCTGTCTACTCTGCCTGCGTCTCTCGCGGCGCGGGAGAGCGCTCAGGGGTTGATTTATCGCGTCGACGCGATAAATCGATCCCCGCTGGATTGATCGCTGCCTGCCGATCTGGCGGGTAGTGTAGACATACCCTTAGTGAGATAAGAGGTGGTTACTTACCTGTAACAGGAGATTTTTCGAGATGTGTGGTCCTTATTTGTATTCCAAACATGAGTGTGCTTGTGTGCCATACACCAGAGACAGAAGATTTTTATATCAGTATCCATTGGCCCACACGTGCGCTGTACGTAAGCCTTGTGCCGCAGGCGAGGTTATATGAGGCTGTGTGGGACGACACCCCATCACTGTCACTCTCTCACCACCGAGCAACGTGGACCACAACAGAGGGGAAGGAGGGTGAGTATTGGAATACAAATAGGGACCATACATCTTGAAGAACCTTCAGTTACAGATAAGTAACCTCCTCCTCTTCTTTTCTGAGTGATGGTCTCTATATGTATTCCAAACGCAGGTGAGTATCAAGCAGTGATTAGTGCGGAGAAGGTTGCGAGGATGCAAGAGGTGTCGCAGTCTGAAGGACAGCACAACCCATGGCTGCATCGGCTACTGCCCCCTGGGCTATAGCATAGCAGGCCATGAAGGTATGGACAAGACGCCATGTCACTGCCCAGCAGATGTTATGCCAGGATACATCTGCCAAGGAGGTGGAAGTGACTGCCTATGCCTGTGTCGAGTGTGCCATAATCCAGCCGGGCGGCATGGTATTAGAGAGCTCGTAGCATGCACAGATGCAGGCCAAGACCCTCTTCGAAACACATTGGGAGGAGAAGGCCTGACCTCGGGATCTGTCTGCAAAGGCGTGGAGAAGCACGGAAGTCACGGGTCCTGTCAAGGTAGAAGGTGAGGGTGCGACGAACATCAAGTGAGTGCAGGTTCTGTCTTCCAGATTGGCATGTGGCGTAGAATGCAAGACCGGGAGGTAAATCGACTGGTTGATGTGGAAGTCTGAAACCACCTTCGGGAGAAATTTGGGGTGAAGGCGTAAGGAGACCTTGTCCTTATGGAAGACTGTATATAGTGGGTCGGCCATCATGGCGGCCAATTCGCTGATCCACTGAGCAGAAGTGATAGCCATGAGAAAAATGACCCTTATGGAGAAGTGGGAAAGGGAGCACATGGCCAGGAGCTCAAAGTGTGGGGGAGGGAGGGGGTGTCTAGTGAGGTGGAAAGGACAAGGTTGAGGTCCCAGGAGGATTCAGGCATGATCACCAGTGGGAAGGTGTTCAGCAGCCCCTTCAGGAAGCGGGTGGGGGGGTGATGGTTAAAAATGGGGCATCCAGGGGGGGGGGGGGGGGGGGGAAGAGAGGAAGACACTGAGCGCTGCCAGGTGGACCAGGACAGAACTAAGGGAAAGGCCTGAGGTCTTAGGTTCAAGGGGGTAGGCCAGGACAGTAGGGATGGAGACAGCGTCCAGGGAAAGTTTATGGTGCCGAGCTCAGAAGATGAAACAGGCCCATTTCACTGTATAACATGCTCTGGTGGAAGCCCGCCTGCTGTGGGTAAGGATGCGGCACACTGGTGCCAAGCAGGTGTTATTTATGCACGAGCCCCATCCAAAAACCAGGCTATGAGACGAAGAGGGCCAGGATTGGGGTGAGGTCCAGGATCAGGCAGAGGTGGGGTGGGGGGATGGGCAGAAAGCTGGAGGAGGTCAGGAAACCACAACTGACCAGGCCAGAATGGAGCGATCAGCAGTATTGTGGCTTGTGTCCTGGCAGACTTTCTGTAGCACCTCGGGAAGGAGGGAAATGGAGCGGGAGGCATAGGGGAGTTTGCCACCCGAAGGCAGGAGGGGAGCACCACCTTGGGAGCTAGGCTCCATGGCCCCCCAGCAACAGTAGAGGGGGAACTTGTGGTTGTCACATATGGCAAAAAGATCCCGGCAAGGGGTATCCCAGGCATGGCAGAGCGAATGGAGAGTGGGGTTGTGGAGTTCCGACTTGTGATTGAGGTATCAGTGCCGGCTGAGCACATTGGCCATGGAGTTCTGCGTGCCCGGGAGATATACTGCGTGCTGCATGACATGATGGCAGATGCACCAGTTCCAGAGGTGGATGGATTCTGTACAAAGAGACAGAGGCTTGGTGCCCTCATGCCTGTTTATGTAAGCCACCACTGTGGTATTGTCAGAGAGAATTTGAACTGGCACAGATGAGCAGCAGGAACATGCAGCAAACCAAGCGGACTGCTCGGAGCTGGAAGACATTGATGTACTGGTGGGCCTCGTGCTGAGTTCAAAACCCCTGGGCAATGTGCTCACTCAGATGAACGCCCCAACCGGTGAGGGAGACATCTGTGGTCAAGGTGACAGTTGGGACAGGTGTGGCGAAGGGGGTGCTGAAGAGCACCTTGGAGAGTCGATCCACCAGAGCAGGGAGGCCCAAAGCGAGCATGGAACAAGCAGTGTGTCATCGAAGTGGGTGGCATGGGGCCAGGCAACTGACAGGAGCCACAGCTGTAGACAGCACACATGTAATTGAGTATACAGCGTTACGTAGGTGCACTGTGGTGCGGGGGTTGCGGTGAAGGTCCACCACTACAGCCATCAAGGTGGTGAAGCGGTCTCCCAGGAGAAAGGCCCGAGCAGCCATGGAATCGAGGTGGGCACCAAGGAAGTGGTTTGTCTGTGTCAGGATGAGCACTGATTTCATTGATGCAGACACAGAGTGGCGAGGAGAGAGTGAAGACTGTGAATGGCAGATGTTAGCTTGGTGCAGGAAGGCATGACGAGAAGCCAGTTGTCCAAATACAAGAACATGGAGTATCCCAGATGCCGGAGATGTGCTGCCACTACTGCAAACACTTTCGTCAAGACTATGGGGGTTGTCACAATGTCGAAGGGAAGGACCCTGAACTGGTAGTGGTTAGTGCCCACACAGAAGCGAGGAAACTTGTGGTGGGCCAGGTGGATGTCGATATGAAAGTATGCATCTTTCATGTTGAGAGCTGTGAACCAGACTCCCCACAGAAGGGAGGGAATAATCAAGGCGAGCATGACCATATAGAACTTGGTCTTGCAGCTGATGGTGTTGAGAATGCGGACATAGAGTATAGGGCGGAGCCCTCCACCCTTCTTCGGGATGAGAAATATGGAGAGCAGAAATCCTAGCCGATGAAGGGGTCAAGCACCGGTTCTATCGCACCTTTAGTGAGGAGGGCATCCGCTTCGTTTTGTAGGAGGGCATGGTGGGAGGTATTCCCCATGGGAGTCCAGAAACTTGATAGAGTAACCGTGCCATACGATCCCCAGCACCCAACGGTCCATGGTGATCTTGCCCCTGTTGTGGGCAAAAGAGGAAAGACAGTCCCAAAGGTGACTGGGGAGAGGGGAGGACGAGGATGGTGATGCAGGGGACTCTCAGCTCTCGACTTGTGCATCAAAACTGGGCTTTGGGTGGTTGATGAGGTGAGGAGGAAGAGGTGGCTGTGGCAGGGGCCGATGCCCAGGGCCATTGGGATCAGTGTCGTCAAGGTGGGTCATCCTCACAGTGGAGACAGCGGTCTGGTATGGCACACAGGACCAGGGCCGG